TGTTTTTCTCTGTACTACTTTAATTAGATCTCTGTATAGTACTTCTGAAAGGAAGAGTTTACTGAACAGGAGACAGATGGAAAGTAATTTTGAAGGTTAGCTTTAATTAGCAAAACAAATAAAACTTTTAACATTTAGGTTTCATGGATGTAGTGATGTTCATGGCCTACAAAATATTATGAAAGAACCTAAATTAGACTGGCAGGACTTCCAAAATATGGTCTTTTAAATTAAAAACCATTTAATGCTATTCATCTAGATAGTATCCAAAAATACTCATTATGGACTTAGTAACTAAAAGAAGATGCTAAGATCACTGAAATAAACCAAGGATGTGATAATTACAATGCTTTTGTATTGTTTACATAGGCATTCATGTTACCATGATGCCTCGCAGTCAGAATTCAATCAGATGTTGAATATAACTGTCTTTTAAAAACACTTTCTAATGTAGAAGACTAAGAATATATATACTCAAATCCATATTTTTATTTGCTGCATTTATTCCACTTCATCTATATCATAAGTGTCTGTCTTCCATAATAGAAAATGGGCATTGTGGTCAGGTAATGCTTTCTCTATTACATCTAGAAAATCCCACATGTAATAGCAATACTTCAAGCAACCAGTCTTCTTTAGGAGCAGTAACTTCTAGTGAACCATGCTTTCTGTGTACCTGAGGGCCAAAGAGATTATCCTACTTTGATGTGGTTGGTTAAAATGTGTGAACAAACAATTTTCTAAAAGCATCAGTCCACTTACCTACCCCAAAATGGTAATGTGGACCAATGTGCCTCAGATGCTTAGAGGCCTTCCAAATCTATGTTGAATCTTAGGGCACCTTGGAGTTATTTTACTATGGTTGAAGGCATATGATGTGGGATTGATTATAACTGACTTAAGACAATTACAATTGGAAGGATTGGATATTTTTATTGCCTTATTTGTTTGGTGTTCTGAATTCCTGATAGAATTCATATCCTGGCCAAATTCCATTTTATTTTCAAAGAGTAGTAATGAAACAAGTCCTAGCTAATGGAGGTTCCGGTTAGTTGGGTTTGGATAATTTTACTTTTGTAGGACCAGCTAATTATCATTATTACATACTACTGTACACTCAGCACCTAGAACAGTGTCTGGCTCATAGGATATTCTCAATAAGTATTTGTTGACTGCTAATGGATGGATATATTGTTCATTTGTATTATTGAAGATAACAACACTAAGTTGTTTAATCAACATAATGAAATAAGCAAATCAAACATAATAAAATGAGCCTATGATTTTTCAAGCTTTTATTTCCTTCTTTTGGCTTACTGCTTTCATTTCAGTTTACATAAAAGAAGATATATACTTTACACGTGAACCTTAACTTGGAGGAAATTTCAGAACAAGTCTCCTTTCTTGAAAGCACAAAGAATTTCTGGCTATATTTGAGAGTAGCCAGAGAGAGACTGCAATTCCCTATTCCAGATCTTAAATATCTTGAGTCTTTTCAACTCTGGGGAAAAAAATGAGAAAAGTTGAAAATCTTTTACATCCACTGCCCTTCAAGCAAGTGGAACACAAGTTGAGGTTACTGATTTCTTTTTGTCACACGCTTTCACTGTAGAATGACAGCATGTACAATGTAGAAATTACATTTACCAATCACCAAAAAAGAACTTGGGGTTCTGGACTGATCTCTTTCAAGAAGGCTTATAGCTATTTTGCTAATTTATTATTCAGAATAGGGCTACCGTATATGGGCTACCTCATATCTGCTTCTACCCTTTTTAGGATGGTAGTTACAAAGTTGATAAATGTTTGCAGCTCTCATTTGGAATACATTTCACAAAAGCATAATTCTTCTTCTAAAAATACTAATTGAAAGCCTAATATAGGGTTTAAGATCTGACTTCCTTTAATGCTCAATGGCCGACTATATTCTATGAGAGGCAGCTTCAGCTCTTTGAGGACCCCAGGGTGTCTTTTATTTTAGTTTGGGAAATTACTGCTGTATCCATTTAGCACCACTTAGGGTGCTAAATCGTATTTTTAGAAGCACAAACAAGTTACTGCATCTCTCATGTTTCATAATATTCCATCCCTAAGAAACTTGAACGCTGGAAGCACACATTTCCTTTGTAAAAAGCCCAACATTCTTTAGTGTAGAGTGTCCCCTAAATTTTTTTTTTTTTTTTTTTTTTGCTATCTAGATAAAAGAGAAGCAAAAAACAAAACAAAACAAAACAGGAGAACTCAGTATTTACTGGCCTTGTATCAAGTCTGAAATACTGCTAGCTTTCAGAACATCATGAGATTATCACCTTATCCAAGTTTCAGTTTGAAAATTAAAATGGTGAACAGCCTAATTTTCATTTGACCTGTGACGACAAAACCACTGGCATGCAGTTGAGAGTATCATATTTAGAGGAAACTTTCCTTTCCTTAAGAAACGAACCTAAGAACTTAAAAAAACAAAAAGTTTTGATTGGGGGAACTAAGGAGAAATAGAGGCAAGGAAAAATTTTTCTCTACTCTCGTAGTGTCTTCATTGGGCCTAAGAATTAAACTGAAATAAGTCAGATTAACAGGAGGAAAGCACATAAGTTTTATTAAAATTTTTACATCTAGATGATAGCCTTCATAAGAGAATGAAGACCTGAAGGAGTGACCAGAGTAGAAAGCTTTTCTACCTTTTATTTTTTTAAATTTATTTATTTTTTTTTAAGATTTTTATTTGTCAGAGAGAGAGAGAGAGAGAGAAAGAGAGAGAGGGCATGAGAAGGGAGAGCTGCAGGCAGAGGGAGCAGCAGTCTCCCCACTGAGCAAGGAGCCTGATGCAGGACTTGATCCCAGGACCCTGAGATCATGACCTGAGCTGAAGGCAGCCGCTTAACCGACTGAGCCACCCAGGCGCCCCACTTTTTTTTTTACCTTTTAGATAAAGAAACAATACTTCTGTGAAGAACTGACAAGACAAAAGGGTTTGGGCTGGGGCAGTAAATTGTAGGGAAGTGATTGGGAAGACAGGATTAGTTTAACAAGGTTTGTTTGTACAGATTTCTCTCAGCCTTGACCCCTTATCTCTGAGGATGAGAATGTCTTCCCTCCTCTGGGTACAGGGAAGCCACCTTTCACATGGGAGTTTCCTGCTTTCAGGAAGAAAAAGGAGGATCAGAGCATCTTTCTTGCATCTGCTGTTTCTCAAGGGCCTTCAGCTCAAAATAATTTTTATGTCAAGGCATATTTTAGGATGTAAAATATTCTGGTTTCTTTCAGAAAAAGTAATTATCTTTTTAAATTAGGCTTGTTTTAGATGCAGTTGAGCATTTTTATGGTTTTCCTGTTAATATTAAGCAGAAGATTTGAAAAAGAAATAAAAATATCAAAATACCAGGACTAATATGAACTATGTTGAATCAGAATAAAGAAAATAATACAAATGAACAATAACTATGTTGAAGTACGATAATGTTCATGACATAAAATGAGAAATCTATTGGGCCATTTGGACTGTACGAAAGTAGAAATGAGGAACATTCTCAGTCTTCTTAGGATTTCTACTGTTTTTTTGAATAAATTAAAAAAGTAAGATCAAATGACTTCTGGAGCCATGTTACAGGCACTGTTCAGCATATTCAGACATTAGTGAGCAGTGTATTCTTACCTTCTAGATCAGAGGTTAAAACCATTTGCAGCACTTAAAAACAAAACTGAAGTCTGAAATAAACTTGCAGCATTTTTTCACAAAATGTCTGGAAGTCCATCTGACAAACTGGTTAGGGCAGCCACAGGGCTTACAAGTGCAGGGCAAATTATTTTCCCTTTAAATCATTTCAGTAACGTTTTACATTAGCATGTAGTACATCTATTTTAGATATAGAACAAGTTGTTTTCCAAATCACCAGTTCTTGAAGTGTGAAATGAAGCCACCATCCAGGAAAATACATTTTGATTTGGTAGGTTTTACCTAGCATGATTCACAAGTATATCCCAAATGTCTTATCTTCCTGAGATCCTTCAGTAACATGAGTGACATTTAAAAGAATTTAGCACAATCTATGTATAATGTATGACCAATTGTAGCACAGTAGATATTAAGAGCTTTCTGGAGTTGTAATATGAAGGCTGCCATACTTCAGATCAAGAAAAAAAAGTGCAAAATCATTCTATTTTCTCTAAATATTATTATGAAGTTATAAATGTGAATGAGAAGCAATTTGTGTCTGTGTGTGTGTGTGTGTGTGTGTAGACAAATGTAGATGACCTATCAATGGTATCACTAAATTTTGTGTTATGTGTGTATTTGCCAGGTTGCTGTGCCACACTAAGGTGCATAATTATCATAAAAGTGATTGGTCAGAAATTTCTCTATTCCTCTTTCTTTACTTGTTCCTCCATTTATCATATTTTATGTGTTAGGGAAGAAGTGTTTATAGACCTCCTCTTGAAATGTTTCCAATTTATCTCTTAGAAGTAAAGTTTCTTTTTAACCTGTTTATTGAGATATAATTCAATATATACTTTACAAACTTGAAGTGTACAGCTCAGTAATTTTTAGCCATTGCACAGAGTTGTGCAACTTCACCAAAATCAATTTTAAAACACTTTCGTCACCTCCAAAATTCACCCCTTAACTCCCATCTCTTCCAACTCTGGGCAAAACACTTACCTACTTTCTGTCTCTATAGATTTGCCTATTTTGGACAATTTATATAACTGTAGTCAAACAATATGTGGTCTTTTGTGTCTGGCTTCTTTCACTCAGTATAATGTTTTCAAGGCTCCTCTACTTTGTAGCATGTATCAGTACTTCATTCTTTTTTATGGCTGAATAATATTCCATTGTATGAGTGCAGTACCTTTTATTTATCTATTCATCAGCTGACAGACATTAGGACAAGTTGTGTTTTTTAGTAGGAAGAAACTGTTAAAAAGTTAAAACTTCTATATTTCTTTAGCATAGAGGAAAACATCTTCTGTCCTTATCACAGGTAGAGGTGTTACGCCCAGCTATGAAGACCAGCATCCTGCTTATGTTCCTTTGGGGGTTGTCCTGTGCTCTTCCAGTAAGTATCAGGGTAGGGATATATGAAATAAACCTTTTATACCTAAAATTCCACAATGTTAATTGGCTATAAGCCAAGGTGCCTGTATAAGTTCTAGTCAGATGAAAACAGTAGTTTCTTAGGAAGCTGTTTTCTTTAAAATATTATCCGAGGGGCACCTGGATGGTTAAGTCGTTAAGACAGTCGTTAAGCGTCTGTCTTCGGCTCAGGTCATGATCCCAGGGTCCTGGGATCGAGCCTTGTATCAGGCTCCCTGCTCCGCGGGAAGCTGCTTCTCCCTCTCCCACTCCCCTTGCTTGTGTTCCTGCTCTTGCTATCTCTCTCTCTGTCAAATAAATAAAATCTTTAAAAAAGATAAAATTATCCGAGGTATTCCTTATTCTGTTCAATCATATAGCTATGATTCTCATTTTCCTTCATCAGCAGTGGTTTTCAAAGTGTCATCCTCCAACCAGCAGCATCAGCATCAACTAGAATTTTGTTAGAAATGTAAATTCTTTTATTTTTGAAAGATTTTATTTATTTATTTGAGCGAGAGAGAATGAGAGATAGAGAGCACGAGAGGGAAGAGGGTCAGACGGAGCAGCAGACTCCCCGCCGAGCAGGGAGCCCGATGTGGGACTTGATCCTGGGACTCCAGGATCATGACCTGAGCCAAAGGCAGTCGCTTAACCAACTGAGCCACCCAGGTGCCCCAGAAATGTAAATTCTTGGGTCCTACCTCAGACCTACTGAGCCAGACTCTCTAGGGATGGGGTAATCTGTGGTTTAAAAGGCCTCCAGCTGATTCTGATTCATGCTAAAATTTGACCATCACTGCTCCTACATATGTAAAGTGTTACTAGCTACTGCCTTGGAAATTTCTCTGTGAGTTAACCATGTGTACTACATTTTCTAGGTAGCCAGGTACCAAAATACTGAATCTGAGAGCTCTGAAGAATGGAAGGTGAGTAGAAATAAGGTTTTTTAAAAATATATTTAATATATTATTAAATATATTAGCTCCACCACAAATATTGAAACTGCTAATGATTTAAGGAATACCTTAATATTACCTAAGATATAGGTAGTAAGGGCTATAATTTCTAGCTCATGTGAAAAAACTTAGTTCACATAATGCTTCAACTTCAACTTAATAGTCTAATTTAGTGAGGAGACGTTTTTTTCCCTTTAGCTTTATTTTCATAGTGATGTCCGCAGTAGTAGAAGGGAAGGGATGACAGTGAACCAGGCTGCTTTTAAAGGATTAGGACTAGAAATCTGTTTACCAGGAGATGTCTGGCAGGCAGGAGGTCAAGTCCTGGAAAGTGAGGAAAGGCAGAGGAATGAGAGGATACTAGAGTCTCTGGAATCATAGCTGATGTTGATTGAGTGTTAACTGAATAACCCAACAGTTACTAATTCTCAAGAACTCAAGAACCATTGCTCGCCTGTGTTATGTGCTTTACAAGAGAACACTGAGACACAGAGAGCAGCCTAGTCTGTTTCGGTTACATGGTAAGTGTTAGAGCCAGACTTTAAACCTAGGTCACTCTGGCTGCAGAATCCACATTCTCTATTAGGCTTATATCCCTCTCAGGAAGGGGCCAAGTCTAGGAGGGCAACAGCTTCTCAAGGTTGAAACTACAAGGAAGGCTTGAAATCTTATGCTAGGTCAGAGTGTTTTGTTCATGACCTTGTTACCTGCTGGCTTTTGCATACAATGCCGCCTGGGCACAGCATTATTAGCAGTTGCCAGATAATGTCAGAGGCTTGAGATGGGGTTCTGTCCCTGCTGGAGATTGGAATTGGCATTGCAGCAGTTCTCAGATGAACTTTCATCAGAGATGTCCTTCAGCTGGTTAATTGAAAAGCAGCCGCTATAGATCCTCTCTCTCATTCAACCAAAGACTCTAATAGCACCACAAACATGTTAGGTTCTCAAGTCTAGCTTTGGTATGAGAAAAATACCCGTGTCTCGCTCCCTTCTAGCCCTTAATTCCAAATGATAACTGACGGAGTTCTCTCTGAGAGTCTGCCATTGTGCCTGCCTGCAATGTCACAGGGCAAAGACTAAGTGATCAGAGCTCCTTCTTCTGGGGAGATACCCTGCCTGGCATGCTGAGAGGCTTGTTGAAGACACACTGATAGCAGCTCCTCCCTGCTTTTCTCTGCACCTCAGGTCTTCACACTCATGGCTCAGCAGCTTTGAGCCAAAAGGGATTTTGGGATCTTGCTGTGCTTCTGGGGAAGGGGGAGTGTAGATGTGGAGAAGGCACCAGAGGTGGCACAGGCAATCTTAAGAGTTCTTATAAAATAAAAAAAAAAGTGAAATAAATCAGAACGATGGCTAATTAAGTTTCAAACCTAGTTTTGTGTGTGTGTGTGTGTGTGTGTGTGTGTGTGTGAGTGTGATCTTATGTGATTCAAGAAAGGTTTAATGGCTTTCTCAATTCAGTTTTATCTACCACTGAATTTTATAATGTGATGTTCTCAAAATAGATTATTTCTTTAGTTTATATCATATTAAATAGTTTTCAAGATGCTTCCAATTTCATCCTCACAGCAACTCTATGGAGTATGCACAGTGGCTGCTAATATTCTTTTTTAAAAAAATTTTTATTGTTATGTTAATCACCATACATTACATCATTAGTTTTTGATGTAGTGTTCCATGATTCATTGTTTGTGCATAACACCAGTGCTCCACGCAGAATGCGCCCTCTTTAATACCCATCACCAGACTAACCCATCCCCCCACCTCCCTCCCCTCTAGAACCCTCAGTTTGTTTTTCAGAGTCCATCGTCTCTAATGGTACGTCTCCCCCTCCGACTTACTCCCCTTCATTCTTCCCCTCCTGCTATCTTCTTCTTTTTTTTCTTAACATATATTGCATTATTTGTTTCAGAGGTACAGATCTGTGATTCAACAGTCTTGCACAGTTCACAGCGCTCACCATAGCACATACCCTCCCCAATGTCTATCACCCAGCCACCCCCCCCCCCCCCCCCCCCCACCACTCCAGCAACCCTCAGTTTGTTTCCTGAGATTAAGAATTCCTCGTATCAGTGAGGTCATATGATACATGTCTTTCTCTGATTGACTTATTCCACTCTGGTTGCTAATATTCTTAATTTATGAATAAGAAATTGACATTGGAAAGGTGAAGTGAATTGCCCAGATTCACATAGAGTGACCAAACATCACAGTTTATCCAAGACTTAGGGGTTTCCTGGAACATGTGAATTTCAGCACTAAAACCAAGACAGTTGGTTTTCAGGGCTAAAACCAAAACCAAGGAGCTAATTGAGACTTAAATCTGGGTTCTAAATTCCAACGCTGTTTTTTTTTTCCTATGTTACATTATATCTAGGTTGTACAAACAACCAACTTCAAAGAAAGTATATTTTTCTCTAAGTGAATATCAGAAACACAACAATCTTCTACGTTTTTTAGATCACAGGATCTTTCTAGGCCATCAGGCCATCTCACATTCTCTTTTTAGCCATTTCACCATAAAATGTCATTATTACTCATGTAAATGTAAACTCTATATCAAGAAACTAAAAAAAATCAACTAAAGTTATTTTAAATATCTGCAAGACATGATCTGTCTCTAAAGGAGTAACTTGTTTTCCTTCCTTTTTTTACAGGGTCATTTGGCTCAGACACCAACACCACCTTTGGTAACTATGTCATTCAATTTTTTTTTATAAACATCTCATACAGTAAATTTAACACTCTTCTCATTACCTTAGGCCATTTGGACAGCAGTAAATCCAAACCGCAAGCAATTTATGTGTATCATATTTTTCTTTCCTTGGGAATTGCTAAAAGGAAAAATAAACAACTTTTTTTTTTCCTTTTAGGAGAGCAGTGAGTCATCAGAAGAAAACAAAGTTAGCTCCGAGGAACAGGTAATTAAACAGACCTTTCTTAACTTTTCAGGCTACTTAGGAATCGAAGGAAATGATGTTAGATTAAATTACCTGCAACCATTCTAAATGTAATATTTTCTAACCATTGGTTATGCTAGCTAAATCATCCCATAAAGTAGGAAGAGAAAGATGAGTAGGAGAATTCAGATGTGGACATGCTGTTCATTCCATATTTATCACTGGGGCCAGATTATAGACATTGTGGCCCCAGAGGTCCTCTAGTTAAAAAGAACACACACACACACACACACACACACAAATGGTCCTAGACTCTGTTAGACAAGTAATAGCTCATTTATCACTGTAAAATGTTGCTTTTACAATTGGAGCAGTTCAGATCAGACAGAGAAAGCTTCCTGGCTAACATGAAGTACCTGCTGGGCCTAGAGATCTCCTCCATGTCAAGGATCTTGTTGGAGCAGAGAATAGGAAAGCCCTGAAAAAACTTTAGTGAAACAGTTTCTTTAGTAATGATTTTTTTTATGAGACTTTTTTTTAATGAGACTTTAAAACAGTCTCAGTGGTGGGTGCCTGGGTGGCTCAGATGGTTAAGCGTCTGCCTTCGGCTCAGGTCATGATCCCAGGGTCCTGGGATCGAGTCCCGCATCGGGCTCCCTGCTCCTTGGGAACCTGCTTCTCCCTCTGCTTCTCTCTCTCTCTCTCTCTTTCTCTCTTTCTCTCTCCCTGTCTCTCATGAATAAATAAATAAAATCTTTAAAAAAAAATAAAAAAATAAAAAAAGTCTCAGTGGTGACCCTCGTAATAAGAAAAGCTGACTTACAATCCTTTAAGAAAAAAATTGGTTTTCTTCCTCTTATGTGTGCACTCTTTTTTTTTTTTTTCCATTTTCCCAAGACTAAATGTCATTACTTTCTTGGCTGTCCTATCATTTTGATCAAACTCAAACCCATGATGTTCCAGAGATTCCAGGAACCAGATTTCTCCCTGAAGCTTTGATCCATGTTGTATTCTATACTCAACCAGGTGGAAGATGAATTATTAGTCTTTTACCACTTTTGTCTGAGGAACATTCTAGGAATTTATAAGCATAGAATTGGGGATGTTTTCTGGAGATGTTATGATTTATTGCCTTAATATTCTCCGAGCTCTCAAATGAGAATAATAGTACCCGCTTGAGAAGGGTGCAATATGTGCCTTTTGAGGTATGGGGAGCTAAAAAGATGCTTAGTTCCAGCATACCAGTGTAAACTCTAGCAACGGGAGGAGATGTCATCGTTCTGTACTCCCAACTGTAAAGTCAGATATTGATCAGTAGGGACAAGTGGAAAAATAAAAACAAAGTCAGCAAGAATGCTCTGCTATGGGGTATGGTAAAGAGAGCAGATTTTTCCATAGCATAATGAATGAAGACTCACTATCCTTCCTTATCCGTGTAGTCCTTCCAATTGTTTGACTTATGGGCATAATCTCTCTGAGCCCACACTTAGAACTAAGCCTTCCTGGTGGTCCCACTAGTTGCAGTCTCCTAGCTAAGCCTTCTACAGGCAAGCCTCTGCCAGTGTGAATGATGTATAAATATGGTATGGGTGAGATGTATATCTTACCACAATATTTTACTTTCGTTTTAGCTAAAAGTTTCATTCTACTGCCCTACTACATTCTCCCCTCCCCCAGAGTTGATAAGAAAAAAATATTTGGGTCATTTTAAAATCTGTTTTAAAGATTTTAAAAACTGTTTTAAGCCAAACAATTTGATGAGTATTTCAAACATCTCTTTAACGTACAAAAAAAAAAAAATTCTCTGAGAGTTTCTTCCAGGAATCAGACTTACAATATGATTTGAGTTTCATGAATGTGATTTCTGTAGAGCTTTTTAAGAAAGTTTCTGTAGCACTGAGTGAATTGTGCCTATGTAAAATGGAATGACTTGAGTTTCAACTCCTCTACTTTCCTCTTTAACCTCTGGTAGACATGTTATTGAGCAGGAAAACTGACCATGGATTAGAAGGAGGGACATAAGAAAAAAGTAGGAGGAGCCTAGATAACACCCTCTATATCAGCTCCTGGAGTACTCATCATGTTTGTTAACCCCAAACTCCAGGCAAATGAAGACCCCAGTGACAGTGCTGAATCAGAGGAGGGCCTTGATGATCATCAAAATGTGCACAGGGCAGCTGATGGCCTCTCTAGGAATGGAGGAAAAGAAGGAGATGATAAAGATGATGATGAAGATGACAGTGGAGATGACACTTTTGGTGATGATGACAATAGCCCAGGACCTGAGGAGAGACAAGGAGGAAACTCCAGACTCAAAAGTAATGAGGACTCAGTTGACATCACACAATCCAGGGAAGACAGTGCCCCGCAAGGGGAAGACAGTGCCCCGCAAGGAGAAGACAGTGCCCAAGATACCACCAGTGAGAGCAGGGACCTTGACAATGAGGATGAGGTGAACAGCAGGCTTGAGAGAGGTGACTCTGCTCAAGAGAGTGAGAGTGAGGAGCACTGGGTGGGAGGAGGCAGTGAAGGGGATAGTAGCCATGGGGATGGCTCTGAGTTTGGTGATGAAGAAATGCAGAATGACGATCCAGACATTATCAGGAGTGACAGAGGCAACTCCAGAATGAACAGTGCTGGTGTCAAATCAGAAGAATCAAAAGGAAACAGTGATGAGCAAGCAAGCACTCAGGATTCAGGTGACAGCCAATCAGTGGAGTATCCCAGGATGAAAATTTTCAGAAAGTCCCGTATTTCTGAGGAAGACGATATAGGTGAGCTTGATGACAGCAACACAATGGAAGAAATCAAGAGTGACTCAACAGAAAACACCAACTCCAAAGAAGCTGGCCTCAGCCAATCCAGGGAAAACAGCGAGAGTGAATCTCTAGAAGAGAGTGAGGAGACTCAGTCTCAAGAAGACAGTCAAAATGTACAAGACCCCAGCAGTGAGTCTAGTCAAGAGGTTGATCTGCCATCTCAGGAAAATAGTAGTGAATCTCAGGAAGAGGCGGTGAGTGAGTCCAGGGGTGACAACCCAGATAACACCACCAGTCACTCAGAAGATCAGGGAGATAGTGACTCCAGTGAAGAGAACAGCTTGAATAAACCCTCCAGTTCAGAAAGTGAATCCACAGAGGAGCAAGCTGACAGTGAATCCAATGAAAGCCTCAAAGACTCAGAGGAGAGCCCAGAGTCCACTGAGGAGGAGAAGAGTTCTAGCCAGGAGGGCCTCCAGTCTCACAGTGCCTCAGCAGAGAGCCAGAGCGAAGAAAGCCATTCTGAGCAGGACAGCCAGTTTGAGGAAGACGATGCCAGTGATTCTCAGGACAGCAGCAAATCAAAAGAAGACAGCAACTCTACTGAGAACAAATCAAGCAGTGAAGAAGATGGTCACTCAAAAAACACTGAGATAGAAAGCAGAAAATTAACAGTTGATACTTATCACAACAAACCCATTGGGGATCAAGATGACAATGACTGCCAAGATGGCTATTAGCAACAACTTTTCCAAGAAGTGGCTCTCGACTTTGGAGTTGGAGAATAGGGAAATCATTATAACAATAATTTATTGATTTTTTTTATCAGAAGGACAAACAGGCCATTTCTTTCTGAAAGGAAATGCTGGATATATTTGTTTCTAGGGTGTCACCAATTTATAGGGGTTTAAATACTGTTAGAGGACACCAGGACACACTCAATGAGACTGGAAGCAAAGAAAGATGTGCATTTTAGCTTCACACCTGAAATAGTTGCTAACTCATTAACATAACCGTTCTTGAGGTTCTGTTATGTACCATGCACTGTGCTAGGGGCTGGGATATAAAGAAGCTTAAGGCTTGTTTCTTGCTCCTGAGGAGCTTATAGAGGGATACATAAACTTAAAAAGCTAAACAGGGATACATATGAGAGAAACAAGAATTATTACAATGCAGTGTGGTTAAGTGCTGTAAAAGGTATGAACAAAATATATGGGAGCACAGAAGATGGGACCAACTTTGCCTTGGAAAATCCGGGAGGGCTTCGCAGCAGAAAAGACGCTAGAGTTGGAGCACTGCATAACGTTTCTCCATTGAAGACAAGAGAATTCTATTCATTCTTTGAATAAGGAATAGTGAATCCTGTATGATTAAGTATTTAGTTTTAACTCTCATGAACACTGCCTCACTCACCACTGGTGATATGATATGGAAGACGGGGTGGGGGAGAAGAGTAGAAAGAAATCCCTCTTTAAATAGATAACTTTTAGCTTTATTTTTTTTCTAAAATCAGTCTATGTGCAATGCTGGAGAAAATTATTCTCTGAGTCCTTTACATATGTTGCACATAATGAAATTGTGTATATAGAATTCAGTTGATTTTTGCCAAATATCCTTTGAAATGTTACCTCAACATAAAATATGTTTTGTAATAAAGATAATATCTAGAAGAAGTATGTGTTTATTTTTATAGTAATATTGTTAGGAACTATCTGTATTAAATAACTCTTCCTTTAAAACATTAAAGAATAGTTTCCTTTCTTCCATTAAAATAAAAGATTTTCTTAAATTATTTCATGAAAATTTTATTTATAATTCAGGTGGCATTTTGAAAAAATTCCTTTATATGTTGCTTATGATATTTTACTAAATATACCTATTATAGATAAGGAAAAAAGAAAATGAAGCAAGCTCTCAACATTGCTTAAGGCCACCCCAAAAGTTCATGGTGGTTGAGTTTAACATTAGTTTTTGTTGGTCTCTCAGACTGTCATTGGTGTAAACTCTGGAATCTACAGGGAAACATATTCCTTACAATTTTAAATTCTCTGTAAGAAAATATCGCACCTCAGCACTTTTACTTTTCAAATGTGTTTTTAGCCACAATTCCACTATAGTACATTAGAATTCCCCTACAAATTTATTAAGAGAATCAGGACGACTTTCTTTTATTCATTCATTCATTCAATTTTTTTTGAGAGAGTATGCATGCATTGCATGCGTGAGGTGGGGAGGGGTAGAGGGAGAGAGAGAATCCCAAGCACGCTCCATGCCCAGTGCAGAGCCCAACGTAGGGCTCTGTATCACAACCCTGAGATCATGACCCCAACTGAAATCAAGAGTCAAGACACTTAACTGATTGAGCCACCCAGGTGCCCCCAGAAAGACTTTCTAACCTTCAGTCTGATCCTTCCCATCCTTCACATAGTTCCATTCCCTCACAATGTCAAAGCTGTGGTCACTTGGAGAATAAATATATATTCTCTAATCCCACCCCTTGAGATTTTAATTTAGTAGGTCTAGAGTGAAACCCAGAATTCTCTATTTTTAGAAGGATCCCAGGAGATTCTGATGTAGCCCATCCACATACTTACATTTGAGTTCTCTGGCTCTATGGATTAATTATCTGACTTTAACCTATAGGTTCCTGCCAACCCACAGCTTCTTATGAGGAGAACTGCCCCATGTTTGGACCTCCTGGGTGTCTGAGGCATAGGTGGTCAGCTTCTAACCATTCAATTGCCCTGCCTCACCATAGGTGATTGTACTGATGAGAACCTGACCCCAGGGGACTTGCCTATAGGCTGGTCAGCAGCCTCAGATGAGACATGTTGCAAAGGCTCTGCCTGAACATAAATGACAGTGGCTTGAGGTCTAATATGAATTTCCCTCTGTGGATATTTGAATATTTATGAAGATAGATGTCAACAAGTAATCAAAACAAAAACAGAAGGGAATACACAGAAAGCCAGAAATAGCCATTAGAGAGAGTCCATTAATGGTGAAGCACAAAACTGAAAATTATTGAGCTCTCAATGCTGAGAGGCAAAATCATAATCCTCTTGCTCTCATGCTTGGATCTTGACTCTTCTATTGCCCACTAGGCCTTCTTGGATTCCTATGATGTTCCTTCTTTTTAAGTGCCACTTGTATCCTTACAATATACTCACCTTTCTTGAGACAAGCTGAGTCAGTCTTTGTGACTTGCAAACAAAATGCCTAATCAACTCAGACTCATAACCTTAGGTTTTAAGTTTAGCGGTGTTCCTAGGTCATATAATTCCTTTACCAAGTTAACTAACAGGATTTTTAGAAGGAAGAATAATGATAAGAATTTTAGCTATGTTGGTGATAGAAATCAACTTAGGCAGATGCGGGAGAGTTTTAAGCTCTCATCGACTCATTTTATGTACTAGGTATAGACACTGGTCTATTTTGTAATCAAAAGTGGTATAAAAATATTATCCAAAGGAAAGCCGACTGGACTCGGGCTTTAGCTTTGAAGGTGTGTAAGTCTTCTCATGGAGTTCCTCATTGAAGTCTATAATGGATGAGTCCACTTGAGAAGCCAAATCACAATCAGAAATCAATCAATTTTTAGTTTATAATGGGAAGAATAAGAATTAAAGGCTATGAGATGAGCATAAATGAAAACACAAATGAGAACTACGTGGCACAAATGCTTAATAGCACTGGGCTAAAATAAGATGATGTATCTATGGTGCTCCATGAAAAACCTTACAGTTGGGACTCAAACTCTAGAAAGCTGACTCTTTCCTGGAAAGTACTCCAAAGAGCCACAATCAAGTCTTGCCACAGTGACCCTTATCTTCTAAGCTTACTAGGGTTAATCCACTCTTCTTTAAATGGCCCATTCTTTCTTTAAATACATTATTAGTACAGTCAAGTTGGTTTCTGTGGAGTCCTGCTGGCCTGGAGCCATTCTGTCTTCTTCAGATGATCTTGCATATTTATGTAGGTCTAAAAATTTAGTTCCTAAACTAAACAATCTTAATTTACTGCTCCTAGTTCCTGATGTGATGTGGACACTCTCTATGACTCCAAAATAAATACAAATTGATGGTTTCTAATCTTTTCCATTTACCCACTGACTAACTCAAACATTTATGGAGCACATCTTATGATCTATAGAAGGATGAATGGGATATGATTTCTGCCTTTAAGAAGCTCATCCTCTATGGCAGAGACAAAAGTGTATGCATTGTGATAGATGGTTAGAGCAGCTTTAGGGCTCTCAATAAATTTCCATGGGTATACATGGGAGGGAGTAATTAACCTGTTTAGAGAGTTGAAGAGGTATTGGGACAACCGATATAAACCTTGGGAAGTGAATAAGAAAACAGGGGAGAAGCACACTCCAAGCATAGGGAACAGAGAAGTAAATGTATAAATTGTTTATGGCATGTTAATGTATGATAAAAAACAGCTGGTGTTACCAAAGCATTGGGAAGTGAGGAAGAGAAAGGGGAAGTGATATGTGAAGGTCTCCGAATGCCAGATTAAGAATAGCCTTCACTATTAGTGAGTACCTTCCTGGAGCTAGGTTTTCATATATGATATATATATCATAAACAACTTTGACATAGATATTAAAAATTCTCTACCCCCTTTAAAAATATATAACAAATAAAGAATGGCAAATGAAAACACAGAAAAGCTAAGTTAAGCATCCTACTCTATAATCCGAGAAATAGCACAGTCTGATTCCATTTCTGTTCGATGATGAGCCACTGAAAGTTTTGGCAACTTTCAAATGTGCACTACAATACTACTGACTGTAGTCACCATGTTGTTTATTACATCACAGGATTTATTTATTTTAAAACTAAAAGTCTGTACCTCTTGACCCCCCTTCACCTATTTTGCCCATCCCACAAGCCCACCCTCTCTGGTAACCACCATTCTATTCTCTGTTTATGGATTTTGTTTTGTTTTGTTTAGATTCCACATATAAGTAAAATCATATGGTATCTGTCTTTCTCTGACTTATTTCATTTAACTTAATCCTCTAGGTCCATTTATGTTGTTGCAAATGGCAAGATTTCATTCTTTTCTTTATGTCCGAGTAGTATTCCATTGTATATATACACCACATCTTCTTAATCCACTCATCCATTGATGGAGATTTGTTTCAGTATTTTGGCTAATATAAATAATGCTGTGATGAGCATAGGGATGCATATATATTTTTTTATTTACAAATTTTTTTTAAAGATTTTATTTACTCATTCAAGACACAGAGATACAGAGAGAGAGAGAGAGAGCATGAGCAGGGGGAGAGGCAGAGGGAGAGGGAGGAGCAAGCTCCCTGCTGAGCCAGGAGCCGGATGTGGGGCTCGATCCCAGGACCCTGGGATCATGACCTGAGCTGAAGGCAGATGCTTAACCATCTGAGCCACCCAGGCACCCCGCATATATCTTTTTGAATTAGTGTTTTCATTTTCTTCAGATAAATACCCAGCAGTAGAATTGCTGGATCATATGGCAGTTATATTTTTAATTTTTTGAGGAACTTCTACACTGTTTTCCATAGTGGCTGTACTAATTTACATTCCCACAAACAGTGTATGAGGGTTCCCTTTTCCCATATCCTTGTCAACACTTATAATTTCTTGTCTTATTGATAACAGCCATTCTAACTGATATGAGGTGATATCTCACTGTGGTTTTGATTTGCAGTTCCCTAATGATTAGGGATATCGAGCATTTTTTCATGTGC